TGAATAAAGTTGAAATGGACTGCTTACGCATCCACACAATAATAATAATAAAGAAATAAATAATTGGAAAACATAGTATGGATGCTGAGTCAGCATCCATACAATTTTAGGAGGTCCGGTTATCCTGATGCCCAGTCATCCAATGTCATCCTGAGTCGAGGTGCAGAGTATTGAACATCAGCATTTATTCAGTGTTTTTAACGTTTTCCTCAGTTTTGCAGACATATTTATAAAATGAGAAGTTCTAATAAACGATCTCTTTCTTCTTTCCCTTCAGTGTCTTGCACCAATCTAATAATTTGATATAAACCAATATAGACTGTTAGACCCACTTTTAACTTTTAGTTGTTTCAAAGTGCAGGACAAAACTTTTGAGGTATCTGGTACAGTCTGATCCTGAAGAATCTGTAACAGCTGAAAGTGTTTTATAGATAAACTCTTTCGTTTTCTGTGTTATTAATAATTCATTCTTCCATTTCATTTGTCACTATATCCTATTTACTTATCTTTAACTCAATTTGTATTGATCATTTTACATTTATCAATGGTTTTCTAACTGCCCCATTCTGGCTTATTGACATTTATCTGTAAATCACTTCAAACTGCATGTAAGGTGCTATATAAACAAAGCCTGATTGATTGATCATGGAAGAACAACTAGGACCCAAATGCATGACTCACAAGGTACTGAAAAGGGACTAAAAGGTTTATTAACCGACTAAATGTGGGGGGCAGAGCTGCAAATGAGGAAGATAGCTGTGGTGTGTAGGAAACAGTAGGGGGCTACTTCTGGATCATCAGGGGAGTATATAGTCAAGTCACAGGTTTCTCCAGACAGTCTCCCATCCAGGTAACAATTAATTTTAGCTTCTAAGATAGGATTAGATAGGGTTGACATGGAAATATGGCAGCGAGCCAAGGCTGCACAGGATTTTCTTGGTATAGAAAGTAAACAGGTCAGCCATGCATCACTGTCTGGTATGGCAGCACTACTGTTATGGACTGCAAGCACCTGCAGAGAGTGATAAAGACTGTGGAGAAGATCACCAGGACTCTACTGCCCTCTCTGCAGAGGATTTACCACCGCAAGGTGCATAGGAAAGCTGCCTTCATCCTTAAAGACCCCACCCACCCCCAGCACAGACTGTTCACCTCCCTACCTTCTGGCTGGAGGTTCAGAAGTGTGAAATGCAGGACCTCTAGACTGAAAAATTCTTTCTTTCCCTTCGCCATCAGACTCCTAAACAGCTGAGGAGTTTATTACCAGGAAATAAGTCATGTACTGACGATTTGTACTGTTTACATTCTTAGTTTGCACATGCATAGTTGCATATTGACTGTTAACTACTGCACTGATGGAGGACATTACAAGTGCTATGGATGAGAAAAAATATACGATGGGGATATTTATTGACCTAAAAAAAGCATTTGATACAATTAATCATGAACTATTAATGGATAAGTTAGAGAAATATGGGATCAGAGGAATAGTTTGGAAATGGATCAGAAGTTATTTGACACAGAGGCGTCAATTTGTTAAGTTGGGTGAATACCAATCAAGTGAGCTGGACATTGTATGTGGAGTGCCGCAGGGTTCTGTTTTGGGACCTAAATTATTTATATTATACATTAATGATATATGCAAGGTTTCTGATTTAGTGAAAGTGGTTTAGTTTGCTGATGACACTACCATATGGGCATCGGGTGAAAACCTACAGCAACTCTCTGGACGGGTTTCACAGGAACTTGAGAAGATAAAGAAATGGTGTGACAGTAATATTCTATCTCTGAATATGGATAAAACTAAATTTATGGTATTTGGGAATCACAGACTAGACAATGAACTTCAATTGAATATTGGGGGAGCTAATATAGAACGAGTACATGAAATTAAATTTCTAGGTGTCATAGTTGATGACAAATTCTCCTGGAAATCTCATATCAGATATGTTCAGCACAAAATAGCAAAAAAATATCGATATTGGCAAGGGTTAGATATATTTTGGACAGGAAAGCACTACGCATTTTGTAGTCTTCACTGATTTTACCATACTTAAAGTATGGCGTTGAAAACTGGGGAAACACTTACAAAAGTTCACTTCAACCATTGTA